TCTGAATCAAATGCCTATATCTTTCAGCATTCAAGGAATTTCAACAATTTTAAACAAATCAGTGTACTAGGGAGTGAAAGAGGGTTTTTTCTGCGTGTGTGTGTGTGTGTGTGTGTGTGTGTGAACTAGATACCAAAGATAGACTATTTTATATCGAGATGAAGTACTTTTAGTATTGATACTAAGGCCAATTGAAGTGGAGAGATAGATTCGTATTTTCAGAATGATCTTTTAAAATCAGGGGACTACTGACAAATAGCAGGCTTCAGATTGAGGAGGAACAGGGAAGGATGCTAACTCCTTGAAGAGTGTGCTAGAGTAACAAACACAAATGAAGTAAAGCCTGAAAGGCAGTGACTGGCAAGCACAGGTTACTGAGCTAACATAAATTAGAGTAATGATCTCTCACAACAGTTCTAAAAACTATCAACCCTAACACCTATTATATGACAGATAAGGAGAAATACACAGGAGAGCAAAATAAACCATGCAGAGCAGAGTTTAGTTGAATAATATCAGGTATTCAGCAGAGCTACAGAGTAGGAAAATGAGAGGGGGAAAAAAACCATAATGATCTAAAAGGGTTTGGTGGTTTTTTTCCCATGGATTTGTTTAAGAGACTTGAAAAGTAAAGATTTTAGAATATGCTATATATGCTAAAAAATTTAATTCACAAGTATCATGGTATGAAAACTACTCAAAAGCATTACTGAGGTAAGAGGGACCTTGGCTGCATCTGTCCTGCTGCAATTCGTTAGTTGATTCTGATAAGCACAGGGATAACTGAAAAGCACAGATCATCCTTAAGGGGGAGGCTTGCCCAAAAGCTCCAGACTACCTCTGTCCTGCTCTAATGGTGCTTGTCTGTGCAGGAAAGGAACAAAGACGCACAGGTGAACACTTAACAGTTTTGCCTGCTTGCAATACAACTGGGCCTTTCCTAAGCATGGAAAATTTTACATGGACTTATACTACTGACAGATGAAGAAAATAAGGCAATAATGAATAGGTTTGAACATCTGTATGTCTAAAAATATGTGAAATAATATAAAATGGTTACTAATCTTTGCAAAATATCCTTCAAGAGGTATTGTCATAAATATCGTTAAAGACGTGTGGACACCGTACTTCACTCAAAGCCTACAGCATTCAGTGACAAAGCATAAGGACACATAGAGCAAAGCTTCAACTAATTAGAGGAAAGGACTTGGACACCTCCTCTCCATCTTAGTCCTTTTAAAATACAAATAACATTCAGAACCCTGGAGGAAGCAGGAGGCAAATAGCAGGTGTACGTCAACTGCCTCACCTGTTTTGAGTACCAACGTGCATTCTCATTACACTATGCACAAGACTCACAGAAACGTCCCTGTTGGGTGCCTGAGCCTCACACTGTACTTGAGATGCTAAAGACTTTGCACTGCCAAAGTTCACCTAATGGAACTACATCCTGAGAAAGCATACATCATGGAACATAAAGCAGCATTACACACCTGTTAATGGAATGCTGTTCAGAAAAGCTGGAATAAGCTGGTATCAAAAGACTTATCATCCTTAGAGAAAATGTTTTGTTAAATTAAGTGCAGCAAATTCTTATGCAACACGCAATCCAGTTGGAGTCACTGAAATGAAACCTACTGGCCTTTCAGTCTCTCTGCAGAAGAGATAAAGAGCCTTGAAGGAGCTCTCAAGTGACACCTTCTATCATTATGTAAGCATAGGACCCCATGACCCTCTAAGGAATAAAGTCTATCCTCACCTGAGAGCACATCTGAGCAGCAAAGTCTATCCTCACTGAGACTAGGGAAAAAGTTTTATATAGGTGCATCATCTAGTTTAAATGAAAGTCTGCAATAACTGGGATGTGATTTCTGGATGATTATCTCTGAAAACGCTTTCAGTAGCTTTGCCATCATATCTCAGCCTTTAACTGTATTCCTACAAGAATCCTAGAAGACAAACAATTCTTCACTGTCCAATTGCTCAAAAGGAGGATTCTGATTCTATCTTTTTATACATTGTCAAATACAAAATATTCTGCTTTCAATGAAAAAATTAAATGGTCAAAGTTTGTGAAATAAGAAAATAAATCGCCATATGTTAAACAGCAACAAGGGCATTAATTTTAATCCTTTGCTATTTACTTGTAACTGTGTGCACTAATCTGTATGTTTTTCTACTATATATTTTACTATTATCCACCTGACAGGTAATAAAAGGCAACAAAGTATAGTTCAAAGTAATTTGTAGTACTATTAATCAACAGAAGCAAACTCACAAAAATGATCTAAACCAGTGAAGGAGAAAGATATAGGTTTTGTCAAATACTGTTGTTTGTTACATTCCATATTAACACTTTTCATTCAACAGAAAGATTTGATATTCCTTCTCTGTAACACAGTTGAGCCCTATTTTTAAATTCAGTGCTTGATTTCCTAAAAATAATTTTATTCTGCTAATGTAACAATCCAATGCAGCACAGGTGAACAAACCAATCAATCGTTCCTAACATAAAAGATTTCAAAGTAAATGCAAAGCTCAAAGATGCAGCGCTAATAGTTTTATTCACACAGAAGCTGACGAAGTCTGCGTTAGTACAATTATGGCATAACTGAAACGTTTCTACTCCACCATATATTACAGTTTGTGGGTCTTGGCTGGGAAGCAGTACCTGGATTTAGTGCCCCAACCAATTCACTCTCCCTCCTGCTGTTCTAGTAGGAGCATAAACCTCACTCCAGGTCTGAAAGAGTTAGACTTCTACAAAAAAGAAACATGGTGATGACACTCAGGTACCTCCAATTTAGGTATTCAGTAACTCAAAATCAGACAATAGCTACCACTTGCAAGGATACTCTGAAACCCTAAAGTTTCTTAAGCATCTAACACAATCAGTGGAGCTAAGCGTGTCCACAGAATCATCCCTGAAGTCCACACAAAAGGGGTCTGCCCAAGAGTTTAACCAACAGGAGAAACCTGGCCCACAGGTACTGGTAACTCTTTGATTCTTGGATCTAGAACTACCCTTGCCGGTCCAGACTGCAGAACCCATTTGCAGGTTGAATTTCTACAATTCCTTTGAATATATGAAAGGGAGTAAGGTTTTCCATAGTTTACACAACGCAGCCACTAAATAAATTAAATTAAGGAATGATTCAAGGAACAAAAAAGGAACAGTGAACCCCTACAGATCCTCTTTTAACACGAGGCATATTTTGTTTTTACAGCTTGGAGATGCACTGAGCCCTGCATAAGTTATATGCACTTAAAGGAACACAATTTAGATGAGAATTCAAGAATTTATTAGTCTGAAATCTTAACAGTAATCAAATAGTTATTGGTGCAGCCACAATGGCATTAAAAGTCTAAATCCTTCAGTTACTATAGAGAAAATAAAATATCTAAAATAATGCAGCCAGTATATGTCACATACTTAAACACTTCCCTGTACCAAACCATTCATCCAGTGTTATACTCACTGCTCCGCAGAGTCCCACGGTCATTGTACACTCTTCCCTCGTTACAGCAGATTGTCGGTCCCCAGTTTTTCACCAGGAAGATGAGGACGCTGGTGGTTGGGTTGTTTCTTCCTATCTGTAATGTCTGCTTGAGGCAATTTTATACCATCCCCAAAATGCTCTACAGACTGCTCTTCCTTCATTGGTTTGGCAATTCCACTTTACATCTAAATATCCTATATACTATATATAGTATGGTTTACTCATGTTGGAAACTTGTTCATTGTTCTGTAGTCCCTAAAAACAATTTTATCCAGATCTTCAGGCTTTAGCTTTTTTGTTTTGTTTTGTTTTTCCTCCCCCCAAAAACGATCAGTCCTCAGTCACTGGTGATTTGTTTATACCTGGGGCCTCTGGTATCATCCCATGCAGAGTATCTACTTATTACTATCCATTAGCTACAGAAATATCTCTGAATTGTTATGAAGTGTTATCTAAATTGTTATAAAGTGTTACACCACACAGTTATTCAAAGCTAGACCAAAAATAACCTAGGTAATAGTTACCCGGTTATCTGATATTTGCTGATACAGCTCAACAGGCTAAAACAAAGCTTCAGGTAGACAACAGAAATCCAGAAAAAGCAAGCCAAGTCAGTCTTAGTACCGAAGCCTTGCAGAGTTAATACAAAGCCAATACTGTATTTATTTGGTTAAAGAACTACACTGGCAGCTAAGTCACTCTCCAGCGAAGGTGAAACATTGACTTGAAACTCCTTAAGCTTCAGATAAAATAAAACTCAGGTCCTGCAAATCCCTGGGACAGTACTCCCACAGTATAATATAAAACATTAGCTTTACTTAAACTTCCATCTGACCCACAGGGGCAGCTTCTAGACTTAATGCCATTTGTTTGTCAGGTGACTTCAGCTTTTCGGAAACGGATGAAATTTAAAGGACTCAAACCTTCATTCAGGCTGCTGTTTAGCTTAGCAGGAGACAGGAGGCTCCAGACGTGCTTAGATATTGAGGAAACTTTAAAACTGAAAAGGAATATCCCTTGAGGAGTTTTTAGCTCCTCCAAGATTAGTCGGCTGGTGGGGTGTCAGCTTTTTGGATTGCTTTCTTACATGTAGGTTCTGTTCCGTTTCAGATACTAAAATAGGCTCCCTGAATTTAATGCCAAGGTAGTTAGATTAGGAAGCTGATTTCCCACAGCTTCCACATTAAAAAAAATAGAGAGAGGCTCCACCAGAAGGTAATTTTGATCACAGACAAGAACTCCTATTTAATAATCAAAATTACCATACAAATATAGCTAACAAGAAAATACCACAGACTTTCATTTTGCAATTTATTTATTAAGAAGAAACAGATAAAAGTGACCATAAAATAGGTTTAAAAAATTAAACACTTTGAACACCATCAAAAAAGCAAGTCAGACAAAAAACACCTAATATTTAGGAAGTAATCCGGTGCTGGAACTGGTGGATTCCTTCCACGGCAAAGTCCCCGTCCCCTCTCATACGTCTGGATGCAATTACAGCTTCAGTATCTGTCGTCATTTTCATCAGCCTATTCAAAGCGCTAAATGCTTCTGTTTTCAAGGTATCCAAGTGCATATTCCTTATTATAAGGAAGAATCTGGCTAGAGAAGGGAAAGAATAAGAAAGAAAAATCCGCAAAGCTGCTTAGTCTTCAGCGAAGTACGCCTCCAGTCCTTCCAGTTCTGGATCAGCTGTTGCATTTGAAGAGGTGGGAGTAGAGTTCGAATTTATGCTTTCCTGACCACTATTTTTTTGTTGAGAGTTTCCTAAATGACTCGGTTCTTTCTTCAGTTCTCTACCACCACTTAATAACCTTTGACTCTCTACAAAATACTGATTAGGATGATTCAAAGAAAACCCAATGTCGTCAACCTGCACACAAAATGAAAGAAAGGGTAAATTATTATATTTATGTCCAAAAGTTGTTTTTAACATTCAAGAATAAATTAGTGATTTAGTAAGTTCAGAAACTTGAAGAGAGGCCTCGGTTTGTCCATACTAGTAGCCTGATAAATATTATAACGCCACAGATTTATTTTCATCACAAAATTTCTTTGCTCATGCTACGAACAAAACTACTGCTTTAGCACACTGAAATAACATTTTATGTTTTCTTTCCTGTAGTAAAGTCGAAAAACCCAGAATATATTAAACATAGTAGTCATATACATACATATACAGTCATGTACATATACAGTATATATATTAAACATAGTCATAGCAAACTTATGTTAAAGCACTCCTTTACAAATTCAGGACAACTACACCTTAAAGCAGCATTTCCCTACCAAAGGGAGGGACTGAGACAAGTCTAGAGAGCAAAGAGCAGTAGAGACTACAAATAAATTTTTTAGGTCTGAAAAAAACCTATATTCTAAATATAAATTTGATGCTGTGAATGGAAAACTTCACCTCTTTTCCTGTGTTCCCCAGGAGCCACAAATGCAATTAATATTTACAAGGTAGCAGGCTCTAACAGAGGCCCAATAGATCAAGCTCACCTCTGCTCCATCAGTGCCAAGATCAGCATCTTGAAGCTCCACAGGACAAACCACCAGCACCAAAGAATATTTAGGCTTTTTTTTCCCCAGGGGAAAAGAATACTAGCATAATGTGTATATGTTTACTGCTTCCTTCTACTAGGCAGGCACGTTCTTTCAGCTCCATAGCTATGTAGCAAATGAAAACTCAACTAATGCTTACCAAATATATAAGACCAACAAAGCTTTCGGTTCTAAAAGCAGCTGTTCTAACATATTCACCATGATCTCAGTTACAACCTTTGCATCTCTTTTTTAGAGGCTCAGAAGTTTGAAATGCTCAATATAATAAGGGCTTCCACCTCATATTCAGGTGACCTACAATTTATACCTGCCCACCAGTCCACATTAACACCGTAAAAATTTTGAGAAAAATACTGCTCTCATGCAACATTGGAAAAATCTCCAAACCTGGGGTGCAATAAGCCAAGGAGGACTAGGAACCGTATACCAATAATTTTCTGCTCACAGTATCTTCCCCTTTACCTGGAAGGGTGGGGCTGATTGAAGCACAATAAATGACTGTGCATACACACAGAACATCACTTGAGGACATATACTGTCTCTGACTTAATACACCAAAAACCATCAGTTTAATTTCAGGCATTTGTGAATATCATGAAGCAGAGGATCCATGTGCTTTCCTAAATGAAATCCTGATTAAATGCATAACCACAATGTATCTTAGCTCCATCAAAAACATGGCCACATATATAACGATATCTAATTCAGATATGAAGAGAATACTAACAACTGTAAAAATCACTGCAAAATCTTAAAAATGAGCGACGGGCCTAGCACACTAATATGGGACTGTGACCACCCCCACCCCGCCAAATAAACAAAAAGGTACACAAACCAAAACCAGAAACCCAAAACTCCCACTGAATTGCATTTCAGTCTTATTAGAATGAGTCCCATCCAGATTTCATCCATGCTCTAATTTCCATTATATGGGAACTAAATTACTTCTTTCCAAAAAAAACGGTTTAAAAATCAGCAGTACAATGAAAAGCTAGCTTTCTCAGAAGAAACTCTTAATTAGCTCTATTTTTTTTTTTATCCTTAAAATCTCAGTTTTCTTCAGACCTGCTTAGGATTCACTTTACCATAAGTCTTATAAATTTGTTCTAAATTCCTTCCCCCTCTCCTCCCCACCCCCCCAAAAAAAATTAGCACAAGCTGTACAGGCTACTCATTGCATAAACAGAGCCTACAGCAGTTTTCAGAGGCGACTGAAGGTACTTGGGTGAAAGCTATCTACAGATTGTTCGTTACAAGCGTAATATGATGCTGTGCATCATTTCTCCTTTTCAAACTTGAATGCTATCAAAAACGCTGCTGGATGAAGTTTAGACACCTATGTTTTAATTAAGAGAATTCTGCCCGTTTATTCTACCACCTTTTTTGAGAGCCTGAAGAAAGACAAAGTTTTGTTCATAATCATCATCATTTATGATACTGTGCTGCATTACTAATTCTGTTCTGCAAGATTTTGAACAAGGTTCAAAATCTATTTCTCTGAATAGAAAGAATTTGCTCTAGCTGTAACAATGCAAACATTTGACCACAAAAAAATTGAGGTGCAGCATACACAGATTTCCTTGTTTTTTTTTTTTTTTTTAAGTTGGACTGTTCCTGCTACTTTAAAATAGTTTTACAATGCTGTGTAAGTAATGTAGAATAAAGTACATCTACTTTAAAAGCTTCTTCATTAATTTTGGTGCAAGCATCTAAAAATTAGACTACCACAAACAGAGAAACTAGATTTCTACGTTTTATCCATTCACACTTGCAAATCCACCTGGAATCCACCATATCCAAACAAAAAAGCATTTTCTGTGCAGTCAGAAATTTAAGCTTACAACATTTATTGATCCAAATAGAACAGCTTGTCACTTTGGACAGAACCATCTATTCAATCTAATAAGTAACACTATCACAAGACGTTTCTTGGATTCGACACATTTTGCACATATTGACCTTCACATAAACACTAGTTATGTATTTCTGTTATAACAAATGCTGCTTTGAAAGAAACTGAAGCAATTATTTTGTAGCTATAGTATCTTTGAGTTTTAATCAAGAACTTTTAAATTAAGTGACAGCTGGTAATGGTATAGCTGATATTACAGAAAAGCCACGTGGAGCAATCGTACTGCTGCAGTAAATAGTATGTGTTAACCATATCTAACTGGTGAGCAAACTCTGTCATCACTTTGAGTAAGCTCCCCTAACAGGGGAAGAGGTTCTAAGAACATAACTACTATCCTCTTTTAAATAAAATGGAGACTAGAATAAGTAGCTCAGAAGGAGATACTTGAAGCTAGATGAGGTTGATCTTGTCTATATCATCTCATATTCCTCTTTGACGGATGTTCCAGGAAATAACAACAGTGTTCTGCCGCTAACAGTGCTGAAGCCATTGTACTGCTTTCTGCCGAATAAGCTTCAGTAAAATTACTTAATGGACTATAGAAAAAATTAATAAGCAGGAGGAAAAATTCAAAGCACTATCGCCTCAAGCCATTCAAACCACCATAAAAAGTAAATCATAGCCAGAGACAACCCTGAACATACTACTGTATTCCTTCATGGAAAGTCAGGTTTACTGGTGTGGACAGTGTTCCTAAATCCTCCACCTGTAACCCTCTCCATGTCAGAGGGTCTTCACAAGAGGATTTAAAAAACAGTAAGTCATCCCAAGCACACAAAACATACTTTTCTGGAAATGAAAAAGCACCCAGCTTGACATATTTTTACTACCTAGGGTTTTATCACCCGAGGTGAAAATGAAGTCATACAGTCTCTGAGACAGCAGTACTTTTAGAAAGCTCTTCATCTAGAGAGGCATGTGTTTCTTCTTCCAAAAAAAAATCGTGGTTCTTATTAAGGAATGCCTGTTATTAAAAAGAATTGTGGCTTGCGGCTTGAAAAGCCCTCTATGAAATAAATACCCTTACACCCTAGACACTAAGTTTACCTCTAATTTATGCAGAATTAATTAGAAGAGTTGAAAGTTATAGTTGAATGAAAAAGGACACAATCATAATACTTCCTATTGCCTCTGGAACATTTTGGTGACATTGAGGATGAAAGTCTTGTTTGATGACAGTTTCACTTCTGAATGAAATTAATAAAACCAGGACAGGGATAAGACAAATAATCCAAAGTCTTTTCTCACTGAAATAGAGAGATCTATCAGCTGCAAAGCAGACAGATGATTTTATTTGTGCAAGTAGCACAGAGAGATGTTCCTACCACAAGACTAAGAAAATTAAAATTCTTTTGGAATTTTCCATAAAACAACAAAGACAGTTTTCTTAAAACGCAGTAGACGGTTAGGTGGCAATTTATTTTTGTTTAGTGTTGACCTTGAGCTCCACTGTTATCCTGGGAACATAGTATTTCTACTGACTTAGCCTTACATAAGGCGTATATGATCTGTATTTCATATTATATGTGATTTTTAAAATTATCTTCCAGATTATTAGAGCTGTTTTGTCATTTTCTTAGACTAAATGACAGATTGTCCCTCTCAGATCACAGCTGTGATGACAGGTAACAGTGGCTATAGGTTCAGAGTATACCTCTGCTGCACTATTCCGCACGCATACACTTCTTCGTTAGGAGTTCGAGGAGACAGAGTTCCATTTAAATTAAATGTGAAAACCGAATTGAAAAGTCAATAGCAAGTGTCTCCTGATGAATCATCGAACCTTCAACCATATATTTAACAGAACTCCTCCACATTTTGAGGTTTCAAAGGGATGTTTGCACTTTCTGAGTTGCTGAGAGAACAAAGATCTAAAAAGGAGACTGCACTCCATTATTTCTTCTTGACAACAAAGAATCTTAGACCAATGTGAAAACTGTTTCTTTCCATCTGGAAATCATGTAGGAGATGGACTTGTATTCTATATCTTCCAGTTTTGTGGAAGATGTTACTTTAAGATTTCAGGGAAGCCTGCACTTCTTAAACAAATGAGGAAAGCTCTGAAAATGTTTGTCTCGAATTAAAAACTAATCACACATGATCAAGTTTTCAAAATATCATGCAAAAGTTAACAACGCCAACTCCATAAGGACTGGAAAATTATAGTCTGGATTGTGTTAGACAGATGCATTCAACCTTACTTAAAGCATATCTCCAAAAACATGCTTGTGTTATGAGTCAAAAATTGCAATTTTTATTATTTATTATCCTAAAAATAGGATATTGAAAACTTAAATGGCTTGAAATTTACAAAGACAAAATTTAACAGTATTGATTTTTTCAGGAAGCAAGGCCAATCTTTCACCTCTTGTAACGTATAGAATATTAACAAAATTGATATATAAATGCAGGTGATTATAAAAAAAATATTTGAAGTATATTTCAAACCACTGAAATGAAAACAGGGCAGAGAGCTAATAATAGATGTTAAAACTGCAAAGAGTCCCTGAATTTCATTCATGATTTCCAAGGCTTTCCTAAAAAAAAAAAAAAAAAAAAGACACTGATCATAGTACAACAAGAATTAGTAGGTACTTACATCATGTGTCAACTCAAAGTACTTCTGACAGGCCAGCTGGTAATGCATGCCCTTCACTAATTCCAGGATCTATACAAAGAGGAAAAAAATGTCAAGGATTCAGAAACAGCACACACTTACAACCACAGAATTCTAAATCTTACTGATATTTTAGGATTTACTGTGACAAGGTATTTCACAAGAGGCAGATGTATAAACCTCAGAACTTTACAATGCATGATGTCTTTGACATTTGTGTATCATACTAATAAATGACAACATTTAGAGATACTGTAGTTCTTTAAATATACCTTTGCTACATTAAAAATGATAAAAAAGACACAGGACGATATGTCTGGTCCTTTTCCTGTAATTTCACTACACTTAATTCAAAAATAAGTTGAACATATATTTTGATAATATAATTCTGACACTTATTGGCAAATTATCATGTTGCAACATCTCTTCCATAACTGCAGATATAAATCTAGTAATTCAAGCAGCTGAAGCATGAAGCGATCAAGTGCACTATTTGTATTTTTATTTTTCACATTACCAGTTCACACAGATGCAAAATAAAATACTACTGCACTCTAATCAAGAAAATTTAATACAGACCCTTTAGACAAGTATCCGTAGGAGGTGAATGCTTTTACCTTCAAGTCAGATTTGTCCTTTACGAAATGCAGTTATTTCTAGTCAAGCTCAGCAGAACATGCGAGTGAATAACCTGTTTTGAACACCTATTAGCAAAATCATCCCATCTTTTGTAAATACAATTTGCTTCCCAATTCTACTTCATGTAATCTCCTCTGCGCTGCATAAAGTCCTATTCTTATCAGCAGAAGCAATGCCAGTTGAAATTTTTAAAGTTTCATTACCTCCTCCCTCCTTTATAAAAATCAAAACGTATACTCTCTCTGCTTATCAAACAGAGAAAATTGCTGGAATTAAGAGATAACCTCAATGGACAGAAAAATAACTTGCAAGAAATGTTAATTTAAAGCCCCTTTCCCAAGGTTGACCGTTGTGCCAAAGACAGCAATACGTTCCAGCTTAAATCCCTGCTGTCCTCATTACTGGATGCCATCTTGTATTTATTGACAGATGTACAAATAAATTACTTTTGCTGAATGGATAAAACAGAACTACAGTGCCAAGAAAGTACTTAACTGCATTGTTTCTCTGTTACAGCCCAACTGATTAAATTTCTACGCCTCTTGCCACTTCCTGTTAAACTCTCTGTAAAATATCAAGGCAAAGGCCAATTAGGCAATAAAGTCTGAACTCTCGTGTTACAAATATATTTTTAAACCTTCCCCACTCCTTTGAAAGTAACTTAAAAATTAATGTCACATTAAGTAGCCAAGGAGTGAAGAAAACTCCACTATTCTAGAGCTTCCATTACATCTATCTAGGACTTCCATTACGTTTTACCTTACATTTTCCTCTTTGTTCCTTACAATAAAATTTGCATACCATGCAAAAGAGCAATTTCTACGTTTAGCTCAACGCTAACCAGATCATATGCTTGTATGTACTTTACAGAAAACTAGCATCCCGAGTTTACTCCTCTAAGTATCTTAATAGGAAAAACTAACTTCAGATTGTTGCACCAATTTTCACTATACCAAAAAGCTGTTATATCCTAAGGCATTTTTCATACTCTTTGGAGTAATGATCAGAAAATCTAAATGGCTCAGTTAGCTGAAAGGAACATTTGCAGTATTTTGTTTCACAGCATTAAGACTTTTCTAAATTGAATTTTACAAGCAGAAGTCAAATACTTCAATCCAATTCATAAATATTTTAGGCTTTCTTGAAGTTATTTTTCATTTAATTGAAGATTACATCTAATACAAATTATTATATAAATAAACATCTTTCTAACTTCAGGTGTAAATGTATTTGGAGACTGAGAATCTTAAGTGAGCAAACAAACTTTCATAAGGATGAACAACTTCCGAGTTTAAAACCCAAAAGCTAAGCTTCTCTTGTAATTTGGGAGAGAAATAAAAAACAATAAGCACAGTAACTAGCACGGATGCAATTCTAAAGCCGCCTCATGTGGGACCCAGCTCTCTTTCTCTCTGGGGTATGTTGGAGCTGAGGAATAAGGGGCAAACTAAACATATTCAGAGAAGAGCAGGTTTAGTAGATTAATTGACTTTATTAAATTAGCTGTTTAGGGAACAAGGTATGAGAAGAAATACAAAAGAGTAAGACCTGCCACAGAATGGAGTCCAACTAGAAAGGGATTCTCTATGTGAGAGAACCAGAAACTATCTTATATTTAAATAAAAGGGAATTATCACTCATAACAGGCACTACTGATCATCATTCCTATCACATTTGTGCTCATAATGAAAGCACGCTTATAGCTGTTTTTCCACTAGTGTTATCCAGAAACAGACTTCCACTCAAAACAACCTTAATTCACAGCAGCAGTCAGTTTCCTCTACATATATTCAGATGTTTGCACTAAATTGCTTTATTCTGCAAGTAACATACTAGATACTTAAGGACTAATCTGCTTGAGAGGTACTCTTTCAGTTAATTCTTATGCACCTTTTCTTTCACTGCCATCTGCAACTTGCTTTTCTGATTTTGCTTTACTGACTACTAATCAGGTTAAGATGGTGTCTGGCAGCTGTGCACAGCCACCTGCTTTCTAGATCTTCAGCTTATATAGCTACGATGTCGCAGAGTTGATAGTTTGGGCTCTGTAATTACCCATTATTACTTTCACGTATTCAAGGTTAGTTTGTTTTATTGAAAATTGTTGGATTACCTTCTATTTTTAAAAACAAAGTCTTTCTACCGTAGATTTTGTTAATTGTGACTCTAACCTTCATTTTATTTCAAAGGTGACTCAAGATATGATTGAGGTGCAACTGCTGGAACATATTTGAATACATTCCTGAGGGGTTTTCCTTCCCTCTGTTTCACGTCAGTTTATAACCACCTTGGCATAACTTCTCCCCCACAGTTCCATAATGCCCTTCACTTCCTGCCTAATATGGGGCATGTCTCCTTCTTGCTGCTTTTAGATATTTGATTTTTATTTTAAAGTGACCACTATGAATTTTAGAAGGTTTCATTTCAATATAATGTATACATGCATGGTGCAATTTTCTCAGATTTCATTCCTCTCTTCCCTCAGACTCGCTTGTAGTCTAGAAAATCATTGTTACAGCTTTGCCAAAGCTCCTGCGACTTTTACATTCTTTCACTCTTTGCACTTTCCAGAGTACTTGATCTCAACATTGCACATGATAATATTTAGGTCATCATAACAGACACTGATTTGCATCACAACAGCAGTGAAAAGCACCATCCAGCAACAATACCTAATTCTATTCAAGTCTACTTTATAAACACAAAAATAAGCAGCACTCATCATCCCCCAAATGAAGTGTTATTAATGTCTCTTAAAATACCTGCATTTATTTTTCACTCAATGTATAAGTCCTCTAGGCTTAAGTCTTCCTTTTAAATATGTCATCAAGGAACTCATTAAATACCTAACAAAAGAATAAGTGAATGTTTGAAAAAAAAGAATGTGTCCATCTGGGACTAGATTTGCTACAGTAAACCCTGGGCAACCTTATTAAATGAAGACAGACATGTTAATTTAAACCTCGTTGATCATTTTAAAAGTAAACAGCTCTAATGCTAGTTGGTTTCGGTTGCTTGGTTGAGGGGTGCTTTTTGGAGGGCAAGAGGGGTGTTTTAGTTTTCTTTTTTGTTTTTTTTTTTTAATTTTTTATTTTATACACTCTACTGCCAAAAGTTAGTGGTGTGAACATCATGTCCATTAACCCTGCCTGCATCTAAGTACTTCCTTTTCGGATGTCACATACTCTTAAAAGAGCACAGAAAATGTGTACTTTATGATTAGAAAAGTTTCATCTATTTTTCAGCGACATTTTCATTTAACTGACTAATGCTGAATGAGTTTACAGCCACTTATTTTAAAAGACGGCCATGCCCATTTTTACACATGATATAAGGAAATGCTGAGGCAAAGCCTGGACCACAAACAAGTACGCAAGCAAGCATCTGAAGTATTTCAAAATCAAAAACTAAGTTACAAAATAAATAAAACTGAAGTATTTATTTCATGGGTGTCCTAAATTTACAGTACAGCAGTTTTAAGAATGAGACATTCATTCATACTTCGTATGTTCTATCTCTTTCTTCTTTTTCCTGTTTTCTCATCCTGAATCGTGTGTTTATCCCCGTGACTTCCTGTGTGTGCTTCTTTTCTCCTCCTTTCCCTTCTAAATGCAAGTTTCATGAGCAGTTTAAACCACCATAAATTGATGCTACGGAAACATAAAGACCCTTACCTGTCTTCCCCCTAATTCTGGCCCCTCCTTCCTGCCATCTCCAGTGTAATGAGAGGCTGAAAATGAACCTCCTCCCTCCTCACCCTTTCCCAGGTTGGGCTGGTACAATTGGATCAGCTCTTCGATTCATTTTACCACATAGTCATAGGGCCAGCATCAGGAAAGGAATGGAAACTCAACAGGCAGCGATGAACACAGGGTGGAACTTCCTTCCAAAGCAGCAGCAACCAGTTACTCTAATCAACTGCTCATGGAAATAACTAAATTGGACACACTGAAACTAACGCAATTCACCTCTTTAACAAACAATATGAAAAAAAATTACATACATTTTAACTTTTTTTCATATTATCTTATTCTAAAAGACACATTAATGAACAACAGCACCCAACTACACATTTCTATTACATCCTTTTGGTGGTTGGAATACTAAATCCAAACTTTAGAATATTTTCCAGTTCAACCTTTAATAGTTTCCAATTTAACATATACTTAATGTATTTTCAGTTGTTCTGTATATTATGAAATCCATATATATAGTCTAAAAGATCTGTGTTTTCTTACAGCCTTTTATAATCAAATATATTAGCTATGCTTTTCAATGTTTCTGCATACTTCTCGCATCCTCAAGGCTTCTTTTTCCTTTCCTGTTGTTCATTTGTTTCACTGCCACAAGCCAGTTCATCGGCCTGGAAGTTCAACAGTTACAGTTTTTTTTCTTACCAGCGTGCTTAAATC